CTCTAACTATTTCCAGTCCTTCACAAACTACTCTAACGGTATTCATAGAAAGATACACACTACCTTATATAAAACTCAAAAGCATAAAAAATAATAATCATAAAACCATAGAATACCAAAGTAGGAATGGTTCCCAGGAACTATTTAGTCCAATCCCCTAAACTGACTCATGAGAATTGTGAAAGACTTAATGAAGTAACTTTCCCACAGTCCTAGAGGTAATAGGGGAAATTAGATTTTATTTTATTTTTCTTTCCATTCTAAACATGATCACTGCTCAAAAATTGTCACCATTTTGACTTTTTTTAGATGTTAATTTATGCAACAAACAAGTTTAAAAAAAAAAAGCACAACTATAATCAGATCACTTTTAGTATGACTTATCTCTAAAGTCATACCCAAAGATAATAGGTTCCATTAAGTTCAAAAATGTCACACAGTGTAACCCCAAGAATCAGCTTCCATCACTTAACAATCATCCCAAAATAAAATTCTACCTGGTAGTACTTCTTGCTGGTTATTTACATATGACTGTTATGGGTTCACTGGTATTAAGCAATATCACTGCAATCTGTTCTCAATACACAGCACTGTCTCCACTGTTTAGCCCTTCCTAGGTAAGAACTGCTTTTACCTAATAATCCAAAACATAAACATAACTCTCAGGACTAATTAACAATAAATGCTTCAGAAAACAATACTTAATTATGCCTTTGTGGATTCTAGGTTCATAAATCCAAAGCAGAGATGCCTTCAAACATTGGCACACTTGTATACTCTGCGCGTCTAAAAGGATCCGTTTGTGTCCCCTAAAATGGTCTCTGGCATATCTAATCCAAGTGATTTAAAGAGGAAATTGTCAGAACTGAAAAAGTAACTTTATCATTACTATGCCTAAGAAACACAAACACCTAAGGAGGATCATTTAAAAAAAATGTTTGAAAAATAAAAAATAAAAATAAAAAAATGTTTGAATTTTAATAATTTATAAAACATTGACTTTTTTTTTTTTTGGTACCGGGGATCGAACTCGGGACCTTGCGCTTGCGAGGCAGGCGCCAGAACCACTGAGCTAAATCCCCGGCCCTTATAAGACATTCTGTACTGCCTAAAAGCGGTTCTTTTCTCTGTTGCGCACCCTCCCCCCATTCTCCTGTGGCTCCAAACTTCTTTATAATCTATTTAAGAGGGAGACAGTTAACCTTGACACTTGTCACTCTTTGAAGAGGGCAAACTGGGGTCTTAGCCTTACTTCTTTATAATTACAAAGGTAATTATTCCCATCCCTTAAGAGGAGCTGAGAAATTCGTCAGACTCCCTAATAATTGGCAGATAAGAATCACCCCGTGAGGAAATACAGAGGACTATTGCATTACAAAACCCTGAGTCATCATCACCCAGTTCTCTCAGCCGACTTGGGTAAACACTGAATAAGTGACTTATGTTCTGCACGCTCACCCATGTGTAACCACCTGCGCGAACATACAATGTTACCAGATTTAATGTACGGTTAACCAAACAAGATGCAGCAAAATTTCTTTGCTAAAAGTTCCGATACAGTGAAGATGCTCACGTAGCAAAAAAGTCTAACCTTTTATCTTCCAAAGTTTCAGTGCCGTTAGAGTTTGCGGCTCGTTCACACAGAGGAACAAGGACAGAACTCCTAAAACTTAGGTAATCAATGCTTATCTGAGGGACTCAAACTCACATAAGCCCGATACTAATAAAGCCCAGAACAACCTGATAGCGCTTTCCTCACCCCTCTCCTTAGAATCATACAGGTCTCGCCCCAGGAAATGTCACAAGAGGAGTAGCAGACACCTTCCTGGAATTCTAATACAACACTCTCAGCATTAACGTCTGCTCCACCGCCCAAGAACGCTCGGAGGGTTGACTGTAAACCAGTCTTTTTCAATCAAATCCACAAAGAGCAGGCCTCCACACAATTCAGAAGTCTCCCTCCGGCCTCCTTCCCATTCACAAAGTTACGAGACGCGAACCGGAGGAGAGATGAAGGAGGCGGGGACCTCGGGGGAGAAGGAGCGGGAGACAGCAAGGGGGAGAGCGCCTTCCCCAGGCAAATCCTCCCGGCACCGCTCTCCCCCGCGCAGATCCACGAAGGTCCTTCGGGGCAGGCTCGTGCCTTCCCCCGGGGCCCAGGCGGGAGGCTGGGGAAAGGCAGCCGCGGGGGACCGAGGGGCGGCGAGGCCCGGACGGAGGCAGCGGGGAGCGGCCGGACACTCACGTGGAGAGCTTCCTGGTCCAGAAGAGGCCCCCGGGCCACAGCTCCTGGAGCTGCACGGCCCGGCCCAGGTTGCTTTTGATCTGGGCCAGCTGTACGTCGGACTCGGCGTCCAGCTGCTCGGCGTAGGGCAGCAGCTTGTTGTACACGATCTCTTTCTGCGGCACGAAGCCCCGCGGGCCCAGTCCCGGACGCCCGCCCGGCCCCGAAGGCTCCCCGCCTTCCTCCCGCTCCCGCTCGGCCTGCTCCATGAGCCCGGGACGCCACTCGGCCCGACTGCCCGGTCAGCTCCCGTGGCCGGCGCGCCGCTGGGCCCCCGGTTCGTTGGCGGCGGATCGGCCGCTTTGCCCGCCCTACACCGGCTGGGCTGGTGACGCTGCAGCGGCCGGCGCGGAGGTTCCGGACCGGGATGTGTCACTTCCGGGGCGGGGTCACGGCGCGGGAGGCGAGGCGGCGCGGGGCGGGGCCACGGCGAGGTCTCGGCCTCGCTTCCTCGGCCTGGTTGGGGTACTAAGCCCCACCGGAAACGCGAGCAGGTCTTCGGGCTGCGGACCGAACGCTGTCCCCGGCCTGGCCATACAGTTGATAGGGAAAGTCTGCGTGCCCTGTGTCTGTCCTACTACTCTTTACTCAGTTTTCACCCTCTACCCTTTCAGCCTTTCTGACATTCTCCTGACCATCAGGCCAGAGAAGTAGTTACTTAACAAATGTGGGGGGTTTTTTTGGGGGGGGGGGTACCTGGGATCGAACTCGGGTCCTTGCATTTGCAAGGTAGGTGGCGGAACCACTGTGCTAAATCCCCAACCCAACAAATGTTGATTGAGCTATTTTGTGTACGAGACGTTCAGTTTAGGCTCTGGAGTTGAAGACCTTAAGAGCCTCTGGTTTCTGCCCTCTAGGGTCAAGAGTGCAGAAAGAGAAGGGCTCTTAATTGCTAGATAAGTAAAGATGCCTGTAGGGGTGTCAGTGCTTGCCTGGAAATTATGTTTAACTGTAAGGTTTAGTGAGAAGTTGCTTAGAAAAGGAAGGAAGAAGTATATTTCAACTGAGAGAAAAGCTCTGAGGCTGCAAGCATGTGTTCTAGGAATAAGTTCAGAATAGCTGAGGATGCTTGCTTACAAGAAAAAGGAATAGAGAGCCAGGCCGTGGTGGTGCATGCCTGCAATCCCAGCACAGGGGAGGCTGAGGCAGGAGGATTTCAGGGAGTTGGAGGCCAGCCTGGGCTATATGGTTCAAGGACAACCTCAACTGCATAGCAAGATTCTGACTCAGAAAACAAACAGCCAGTGGTGGTGGCTGCTGTAGCACACACCTGTAAGGGGTGGGGAGTTGAGGCAGGAGGATGACCATGAGTTCAAAGCCAGCCTGGGTTACACTGTGAGTTCAGGGCCAGCCTAAACCATGTAGCTACAGTCTGTCTCAAAAACAAACAACAGGGCTGGGGATTTAGCTCAGTGGTTCCGCCGTCTGCCTTGCAAGCACAAGGACCCCAGTTCGATCCCTAATACCAAAAAAAAAAAAAAAAAAAATCAAAAAAGTAGCTGTAATACAGAGGTATCTTTGAAGGTGGGATCTATTTATGTTTAAATATTGGTGAGAAGGAGCCAGTGGAAAGGGAGCTTGAGGGTTTATGGGTGTGGATGACAGGAGAGTCCAGGGAATCACTGGCCTTTAGCAATAACACAGCCTATGGTTCCATCCTCAGAAGAGGAAAGCAGAGTAGGATAGGTGCAAACACAGGAAGGTTTGCAATTTTGGTGCTATAGTTGGAGAAGTTCATTGATGGTTTATATTTTTCATGTCACTCAAGAGAAAGAATTATGAAGGACATGGTGGGTAGAGTTGAAGAGATTAAAGAAGGCTTAGCGTTGTCGAAAAATTCATAAAACTGGTTAGAGATAGAACTACTTGTCAGTTAAGGCTAGAAGCATGAGTTTATGATCATTTGCATAATTTATGTTACATCAGACTGTAACCGTTGCTCTGCTGGAAAAGCAGCTCCTGGCGATCATCAACCCAGTGTCAGTAAAAAATTAAAGAAGCAGGGCCGGGATTTAGCTCAGTGGTTCCGCCGCCTGCCTTGAAAGCGCAAGGACCTGAGTTTGATCCCCGGTACCAAAACAAACAAATTAAAGAAGCAGATTTTAAACTAAGAGAAATCAGTTTATTTGAAGGTAGAGAAAAGGGGGAAGAGAGAGACGATAGCTACTCCACAAGTAGAGAGCATTCAAAAACTAAATATTCATGGGTTTTTCTCTGCAGCGCCTTTTATTGAGTTTCTTCTTCCTGTGTGGGCTCCTGGAATCTGATTGGCTCCATGGCTGACTTTGGTCCTCCCCTTGCATTTCTTCCTGTCATATGCAGTTATATGACTTTTCCTGTTGTTTGGTGGTGGCTAGGATTATGAGTAGGGGGCTTAGGGACAAGTAATTTAGGCTTAAGTATTAAGTAAAGGGGCTTATGTTGAACACACACGCTAGTTAGGACTTCCCTGATCTTAGTTTCTTTGCCTTTGTTTTACTGATTGTTCGAGGCAGAGGCTGCCGTCCTTAATAAGTCTCTCCATTAACTTCTTTTTGCGGGGCGGGGGGGTACCGGGGAT